TGCCTCCACACCCCGTGGCCGGTTCAGAAGCCGCCAGGCAGAAGCTGGGCCAGTTCTGCCCTAGACGTCACTGCCTTGCAAGTGCAGCCCTCTCCCACAGGCCCCGGTGTTTTTAGCAGAAACAGCTATTCCTTTTCTTTCAAAAATCAGTCCTGTGCATTCCTGAATAGAAAGGAAGCTTTTAAAAGAAATCAATTGTACTGTCAAAGTCCAACATTTTTTAAAAGGTAAAATATCTTGATATTTTAGCTTTTAAGATTTTTAAAAGGGCTACCCAGATGTAATGGTTGGTTTTCACAATGTAATACATTTAAACAAGCAGTTCTGAGAGGAAGTGCTTTGCTGTCTCCTTTGAGCTGCACAGAAGCGGCAGGGTTAGGAGCAGTGAGAAGTCACCTTCCAGGAGAGTTTGTAAAAGTCAGGAGTGAGCAAAGAACCTTCAGGGTGTGACTGCCTGCCCCCCCCCCCCCGCCCGCCTATTCCTTTTCTTTTTCACATATGGGAAGCTCCAGGGAATGCCTGAGAACAGATGTCCCTCTCAAAGATAGGAAGAGGGAGTCTTAACTGAGAAAATTGGGGGGAAAAGAAGACCACGGGAAGGCCACCCTCCCTGCACTGGGAAGAACCACGAGGTGATGAAACTGCCCTGCCCTGGATGGAGGCTCTGGTGCTGCAGCAGCCCTGTGCCTCCCCCGGGTTGCCCTGCCTGGGAGCGTGATGCCCAGGACTTATTTGGGTAGGAGGTCCTTCTTCCAGAGACTCCATAACATCACTTCAAGAAAGGGAGGCACAGCTGAAGGCACACCACGGCTTCCAGAAGCCAGCTGTCCCTAGACCGGCCTGGCCTGGGGTGATGCATCCTCTGCCTGGAAAGCCCTCACGGTGCGGATCTGTGATCTTTCCAGATAGACAGTTTAACCACTAGTGAGCTAGCGGGTGTAGGCTTAATTTACTGAAAAGAAAAGTGGGGTTTAGATAAATCTTTTCTTAATATCATTTTCCTAATTATAATATGTATAAGTATGGTCCAATTATAGAAACACTGGAAATTTCAGAAAAGTATGAAAAGGGAAATAAAAATCACTCAAAATCTTACCACCCAGAGATTGCATAGAGCAGCATAAAGGAATTAAAATGGTCCCATGATTCTACCTTCACCCTCCTGGGATAACCACTGTTTATATGTGACCTACATTCTTTTGTAAATATACTCTTTACTAAAGGGAATCATACTGGGATACTGTTTTTAAATCTTTCTTTTTTAAAACTTATCACCATAATAAGAATGTTCATAAGTATACATCTACAACGTTATTTTAATAGCTCCAAAATAAAACTTTTTCAGTCACCAGAAACATATTTTATAAAAGCATAATGTATGTGTCTTTTTTTTTTTTAAGGAGAAAAAAATCTTGGAAGCTTTTAATGAGAAGAGAGACTTAATGTGGGTGATTTATTTTCTACTTTGTACTTTTCTATATTTTCCCAATAATTCTGCTCCCTGAGATAACCACAGCTAATGTTCTGGTTCATTTCCTAACTGTTTTTAAAAGTATACTTTAAACATTATTGGAATTATGCTCTACACAGGATTTTGTATCCTCCTTAAGTCGCCTAAGAGTGGAGCATTTTCCCACTTCGGCAGATGGCTTGTCTGATAGTCTTTCATGTGGGGACACTGTCATTTTTTAAAAAATTTCTCAATTATAAACTATTTGGATTGTTTCTGATTTTTCATACTGTATTAGTGATGCTGTGGTGACTAGTTCGCCCCAGAATTACCCTGTATTTTGTTTCTGTCTGAATACTCCTTGGGGTTCAGTTCGGTGGAAGTATAGTCCCTGACTCAGAAAGCATAACGTTTTTAAGGCTGTCTTTGCATATGAACAAACTAATTTGAAGAATTTCTGCTCACTAGTTACTATCAAATAGTCTCTTGCTCATTATTTATCATAAAATAGGTGCTAGAGATAACTATTATTGGTTGTTATTTTTCGAGGAGATTTTTGGTCTTATTCTTAGAAATGATGAATAGTTTAATTATAAATATATCTACTATGAAACATTTTAAAAAATTCAAAATAAATTCTAAATTGAAAGAGAACCAATCGTATTAAAGAACAGTTTTAGTGAAAAATCTGAACAGACAAAATTTTAAATTCTGACTCAGTCAGTCCACTTAGGGGATCGGATCCAAACCTAAGGAAATGAACAGTCCACATTCACCACAGTGACATAAAAGTAGAAATCTGGAAATAACTGTTCAATAGGAGACCAGCTAAGTAAGTTATTAAGTCCACAGAATAACCAAAAATGATAGTTACAAAGACTGTGTAGCAACCTGGAAGACACGCTTGCAATACAGCGTAAACAGAAAAACGGGAGACAAAAGCTACACGTGTTTGTGTTCCAACCGTGTAGAGCTCCTAGAAAAGAAAGAGGGAGATGAGACAGATTGTTAATGGTGCCCGGCTGATGTTAAATGTGCGCTCGGCTGCCAGTCACGGAAACCTTCCACTCCACACAGCCTCTGCCAACAAGGAAAGAAAACACGCAGAGGCCGGGAGGTAATCGGTAGGCAACCCTGCTCCCCCTCTGTTGTAAGGACATCGTTGACAAATGAAATGCATTTATGGTCTCTTTCCTGCTAAAGCAAACACAAGCAGCTTCATTTTCAGAAATGTACAGTTTACGAAGTTTATGAACGCTTCTTTGTTGACTGTGGGCCCCGTGGTCTGGCCCCTAGAGTTATCTGAGATAGTGCAAATAAATCTGGCGGCCTCCAGTTGTCTCCATCGGAGCATTAGCTCCTTCCCCTGTCGTCTCCCTCCTTGCAGAATTTCCCCTTGGCCTTCAGCACAGACTCCCTCTTCTCATTAATATGCCCTGTTAACTGCTGCCAAACCTCCAGCAGTTTAGTGCATATGTTCCCTTAATCATTTCTCTTTGTTCTAGAAGCCTGTGTTTGGTTTCTGAACCAAGCTTTTTCCTGCGTGCCGCGCTCCCCCCCCCCCACTGTCACATCGCTGGCTGTGGCGTATGACTGTCTACCGTCTACATGTTTAAAGAACATCCCAGATTGCCTGTATATTACAGAGCCTCTGCAGTCTGCTCACAGTGTGCTAAGGCACCCGCTCACCCCGCCTAATTCCCCTTCCAGAGCCTTGGGCCTTTGGACCCCAGGTAAAGGGTTGCCAGGACCTTCTAGAAAGCAGAGGCTCCCGGAAGACAATGTTAACTCCCTGCATAGACAAAGACTCCCTCTTAGGATTTTCTGTCGGCCCAACACAAGAAAAGGACGCTTTATTCTTGGAGCCCGGCGGTGTATAGGCGCATTCACGCTCAATGAGTTATTCATGGTGTCCAAGAGAAATACTTCTGAAGCCGTATTTCATGTGAGATGGAAGTGGGCCTGGTGCTCACCGAGGGCACCCTGGGCCTGCTCCAGCCGCTGTGTGGAAGGACAGATGTCCGCCCAGCTGAGCCCCTGCCCCATGCAGCCCCCAGTCTTCTTAACACAGGGAGGGTCTTCTGGGCCTCTCTTGTCTAATGGGGACCGCAGCAGAGCCCTGCATGTCATCGGTGCATAGGGGAACACTGTGTGTTGTTTTTCTCTGCTTTTAAGTATTTTCCTTTTGCTGAGTTCCAGAGATTTGCAGAGTTCCAAACAACCCCTTTAGCCGAGAGGGGCGGAGGGTGAGCCTCTCAGAGCCCCTTTCCCCTCAGCAGGGGCACTGTGGATCTCTGGAGACTTATTTTTGGAAATTTTATGTTAATACAAAATACCATCTCTTCCTCACCCCTGCCCCTGCTGCTCCTCTCTCTCAAAAGAAAACTGTCTCAGAGGCCCTCACAGCTGCACTGACAGCGGGCACAGCACGGATGTGTCTGCTCAGGACCTGGCCAGCAGCTGGGGAGTGCGGAGAACCCTGTCCTCATACGGGCTTCAGACGCAGGACGCAGCTGGGAGGAGGCCCTCAGAACGGGGCATCGGTGTGTTTCTTTTTCCCCCTTCCCTTTTTTGAAAAGCATGAATGCTGACTCATTTAGGGGGCAACATAGGGCACTTTTCTACCTGTCCCCCCAAAAGGAAGTTTGTTTTCTTTTAAATGGCACCATTTTAAGAGCAGAACTGAAGGCTAAAATGATCCAAGGTTCTCTTGAGTTCTCAGAAGGTGTAGATTTATTTACTATAGTTAAATCATAATTAGTTCTCAGGGGATAGTGTATCTTTTAAATGGCTTTATTGGCACCATATCGGTTTTCCGAATAATCAGAAACTTCTGTTATAATTGTGTTCTAGCGTTCAAACAGAAATGCCCCGTAAGTAGAAACAAATGTCAGGAATTGCTAGTTGTCACTTGAAGAAGGTACACACGGAGGGGTAGGGAAAGAGAGTGTTTGAAAGGACGTTCTGATGAAATGTAATCTAACCGGCTCGGCACCTATAGCTCAACCGGCTAAGGCGCCAGCCACGTACACCTAAGGTGGCAGGTTCGAATCCCCAGCCCGGACCCGCCAAACAACAATGACGGCTGCAACCAAAAAAATAGCCGGGCGTTGTGGCGGGCGCCTGTGGTCCCAGCTACTTGGGAGGCTGAGGCAGGAGACTCGCTTGAGCCCAGGAGTTGGAGGTTGCTGTGAGCTGTAATGCCACGGCACTCTGCCCAGGGGGACAGCTTGAGGCTCTGTCTCAAAGAAAAAAAAAAAAAAAAAGAAATGTAATCTAACCTAAACTGAATATCAGCTCAGGCCGGTGCCCATGCCCTTCCCCCATGCGCGTTTTTGATACTAAATGGTGGTTTTTCAGCCCTTTTCACTCTCACTACAGAGCAGAGTGGGGAGGGTGATGCCCCTCCTGGCTTTGCTTCCCTACAGATCTCAAGGACCTGAATCAGCCCTGGCTTGGTGGCACGTTCACAGATGGGTGCAGGTGCTGTCTTTCTCTGCCTGAGCTATTGCTTCTGTTCTGGCTGACTGGTCTTTCCCACCACTTGCAGGTTGATGTTTGAGATGCCGCAGGAAACGGGATTAATAGCCATCGCGGGCCGGCAGACGCAGGGCAAAGGTGAGCCGTCTTTTGCTGCCATTCCTGTTCCTTTTCTTTTCTATAGTCTGCGACTCCTGTGGCCAGACAGCCTGTAAATTGCGTGGGCTGACCATCAATTTGTCTCGAGGGTCAGCAGTTGTTTCTGTTTTCATAACTGCCTAGAACAGAGGAAGATTTCGCCTTTGTAGAATTGAAGCATTCTTTCAAATTGTGATGTTTTATTAATCAAGTGACATTTGCTTTGTCATTTGATTACCTACATCTTGTAAATTCTGGGCGCCACAGTTTGGGAATCTAGAGCATTTATTTTCCCGAAGGGTCTGTGTACGGTAGCTTCTGTGTCTCTGCTCAAGGTCACAGGGAGGGGCCAGGCACGTGTCAGGCCCCCACCCCAGCTGGCCATGGAATTTGTATGTATACAGTGGGCTCTCCATTAGTGCCCACTCACAGAGTGACCACAGGGGACCAGGGCGCAGCTCAGGGCTCACACCACTTACTGGTCCTGGATCCACCTGGGTCTGGCCCTGCACGGGTTCCCTGCCAGCCCCTCCCCAGCCGGCGCCAGGCTGCCCCAATATGCTTTAAGTCCTCAAGGCTCTTATGACTTTCTCAGAAGAAGCAAAGAAATAAAGAGTCTACTATTCCCCTCTTCTTTCTCTTAAACATGTCTTTTGAATATACCTCAAAAGGAAAAAGAATTCATTTTCTCAAAAGCTGTGTGTCTCCATATGCAGACTAATAAAAAGACCGTGTAGAATAACTTTGATTCACTCTCCCTCTCATTTTGATTATTTTACTTCCTGGACTTCAGCGTTAAGAAAAGTCACAGTGCAGAGTTAATACTGCAGATCCCTCTTTGGGAAGCTTTAGTGAGATGCCGTGCTCAGCCGTGCAGTTCCTCCCTTCAGCAGCGGCTCTGTGGGTTTTAGCATGTTTGCTGGGCTGTGCGACCCTCACGAAGGTAGAGAGCCCTCTAGAAAGTAGTCCTGGGACCTCTTGTGGGTGAGTGTAGAGTCGCCTGGGTTCCCAGTGTCTCTGCTTCTGCCTTCACAACCATCTGTTAAGAATTAAATTTATAGTCATGTTCAGACACTGTAGGATTGTGAACCATCAAAGTGTAAACGATACGCTCCCAGAAACAGTACATTATGCTAATTTTCAGAAACTTTTCAGCAGCAGAGCTTCAGATTTTAGAAAGCTTGTCTTTTACTGAGTTAACCTCAGAATACTCAAGTGTCTTACTAAGTCCCAGCTTGTTTAAGTGGGGCAGCTCTTCGGTGCGTGGCCCTGGTGTCTGTGTGTCTGTGTCTATCCATGCAGCAACGGTAGCGTGTTTCCAATGGGGCCTGTGTTGCAGGGCGGGGAAGGAATGCGTGGCTGAGCCCCGTGGGGTGCGCTATTTCCACTCTGCTCATCTCCATCCCACTGAGATCCCAGCTTGGTCAGAGGATTCCGTTTGTCCAGCATCTGATGGCTCTGGCGGTCGTGGAAGCAGTGAGGTCCATCCCTGAGTATCAGGTATGTACACTTTAATTTCCCTGCGTCCCTGTCAGGCACGCAGGATTCAGCACGGTTCTGTTTGTGGCTTGTGTTTGCCTAACTGGTGGGTGCAGAGCCTCAGCCTGCCCTTTGCAAAGCTGGCAGCTCTTGGGCTTTTGAAAGCCACTGGGTACTGTTGTTGATTCATGCCTGCCAGATGCATCCAGGGCTCACAATTCCACTCAGGATTGTGTCTTTCCATCCAGTCTGTCAGGTTTCCCGAACATCTCAGTAAGGACAAGATTTTGTTTGTTTGTAATTATTGTCTGTTGTTTGAAGCACTAGATGAGATTTGACTGTTGGAATAGATAGGAACTATTTGTCTGCATTTTGTGTGGGAAAGGGTTTTTTTGTTTATTTATTTTGGTTAGTAGACCCTGGCTGGGTTCGAGCTCCCAACCCCTGGAGCACAGGGTTGGCACTCTAACCATTGAGCTATGGGCGCCCAACCGCAAAAGGTTATTTCTTGGACCTAAGAAAACCTTCTCATTTCCGATCTCCTTTTGCCATAGTCTGTGCTCAGTGGCATTCAACATCCAGGTTCATTTGGGACCATCTTCCCCCAGCTGTCAGGACAGGTCCGCCTGTGTCACTGTTATTTTTAGATACTTAGACATCAGTTATCAAAAAAACAAGAGAGAACAATTAGCACAGTGACTGAAGCCTTTTCTTCCATATCTGGAGCCTGCTTCCCATACACCCCTCCTAAATGTTCCTGGAAGAAGGTCAATGGCTGCAAAAGGAGCTGCCCCCCCACCCGCCTCCTTCCCACCTGCAGCTCTTAGTCAAACTAAAAAAAAAATGATACTATCGATTCCCGAAGTGGGATGTTAAAAGCATGACTCTCAGAGAAGACTCAGAAGTCCTCTTGTCATGTATAATGAAGACACAGTCTGCTGCACCCCCTTAAGTCCCCCTCTGATGCTGCAATGCCCCCATATCCACCAGGTGTAAATCTGACAGGTAATTCTAGGGTCTGTGCTTCCTGTGTTAGTTATATCGCAACGCCACAGTGCACATTTGTTGCCAGGCCCCGGCCTCCATGCTTTGTCTGGTAAGTTTTGAAGTAAACAGACTATCAAAAGCCTTCAGGAGCCCAGTCTGCAGTGCCTGCACTATATAATTTGTCGTATAGAAAGCAATCATGAGTGCAGAGATGGAGAAACTATCTTTAACTCCAGCAATGGGTTAATTAGTTTTAGGAAAGTAAGTAAAATGCTGAGGCTAGAAGGTTAAATGAGCCTGTTTGGGTTTTTGGCAGCTGTGGTTTTGGCCTGAGCCTCACTGGCTAACTCATGCTTTTTGGGCCCCCCTGCTTGCAGAGGATGCACAGGCAGGCCCTGGGGGCCAAGGGTGGGGAGGTGGGAAGCTCGCCCCCAGCTGTACTTGGGCTGGGGAGACTTGGGCTCCTGTTCTCTATAAGAAGCTCCCACCAAAGTTCTGCTTTCCTCTTCGGCTGCCCCAGCCTCACCTGTATGATGGGACTGTGCTTCTGAACTGGATTTATTTTTAAAATGGCACATCTTACACAGTACAGTGCTAGGTGGTTGAAATTGGCCCTGTTTGTATGGCATACTTACAATCTGCACTAGGGCCCCAACTTGTCCCTAGCCAGATGTCACCATCAGCACACTAATCACGTCCAGCTTCCACAAACCCGACACAATGTCACCCAAACCCTTTGCACTTCTTCCAGAGACAGCCTGGGGCTGCCTGTTCCCATTCCTGCTGTTCCTCTGTCTGTGAAGTCCTCTGCCCCCGGGAGCACCCTCCCTTCACCCTCACCCCCTGCTCCCACTCTCTTCTTCTTGAAATGCTGTTCATCCTTTGAGGCTCAGCGCAAATACCATTCCCTGAATGCACCAGCCGCCTCCAGCTCTCTCCTGCAAGACGGTGCAGCACTTGAAATATCGGGACCTCTCTTTTGGTGCTGACCACGTATGGCTTTGAAGCAGAGTGACATGTGCTCCTGGTCTGTCTCCTGCAGTTACTGGCTCTTTGGGAGCAGGGTTCATTTTGTTTTAGGCCCCGCACGACCTACTTTGGTGCCTTACACATGGGAAGGTCATAGCAGCTTGAGAAAATGAAAACTAAGTACGTGGCCTTCCTCTTGGAAGAGATGGTTCTTGTTTACTTGCCTGAGAGCCCGACATGTCAACATCTGACTTATGAACTGGACCTAAAAAATGCGAAGTTGAGTAAGAGCCGAGTGTGGGGCCATGAGCTGCTGCCTGTGGGGGGGAGCAGCGTGTCCTGGCCTGGGGAAGCGGTCTCTATCCTCCTGCAGAGCCAGGGACTTGCTCTCCTGTTGCTACAGGGGGTCTGGGGGATATGAGGGAAGGCGGAGAGGAGAAGCAGAGGGAGTTGGGGAGAGTGGCAGAGGCCGTGGTCCCCAAGTTACAGGTTTTCTGGATGAGAGCTCCACAGCCTTGGCACTCTGGATATTTGGGTCCCTGACATTGTGGCTGTAAGCGGCTGTCCTATGGCTTAGAAGATGTGTCGCAGCATTGCTGTGACTACCAGAATGCTCCCTGGTATTTCCAAATGCCTCCCTCTCAGTAGAGAACCCCTATTCTAGACAAAAAGGAAACACGAAGTCCTTATGAGTTAAGGGTCACTGTGAGCACCTGGGTTTCATTTAGACTCTCCTTCCCCTGTCCCCTGTTCCTGCATTTTTTTCTCTGAGCCTAAACTGCTGTGCCAGGGAAGGTGGGCTTCCAAAGAGCAGAAGTGTACTCTATGTGGCGGAGGTACTAAGAAGGCCTGTGGGAAAGAGAGAGGGGGGTCTCATGGGAGCAGCAGGCCACATAGCACAGTGTTGGTTCCCTAGGCTGGATTTGAATCCCAGCTCTACTACTTCCGAGCAGTGTGACCTCAGGCAGCCCCGGAACCTCTACAAGCTTTAGTTCCCTCCTCTGTTAAATGGGTTTGGTACAAGTGACATACGGACAGGTTCTGAGATGGGGCCCGGTGCTGTGCTCGGCCCACAGTTTGGGAAGACCAGCCCCGTGGGATTTGGAGGCCATCAGCTACTCTCTTGTCTCTTGTTTTTTTCTTGCTGAGTGTCTCCCTTCCAGCGTCACATTCCACATGAGCTTCCCACATGTCTGTGACACAGCCTGGCTGCCATCCCCAGGCCTAACAGACCTGGCAATTCCAGCAATTACTTGGTCTAATCTAGTTTGTGTCCCAACCTCAGCGTCATGGGGGGTAGGCAGAGGCATGGTTGCCCTAGCCTGAGGCAGAGTCCACTCTTGGTCCATCCTACTGTGACCGGGTCACAGGCAGAGTTCCCCCGTGAGGGGCAGTGGGCCAATGTGGCAAGTCCATTCTGTTCCCCAGGCTGACCATCGGCAGACCTCTGAGGCTTTCCTTAGTTCCTTGGTAACAAGTTCTTCCTCCAGATTTGTGGTGCTCTCCTTGAGACACTGCTACCTGCCTTTTGTGACATTGCTTCATTCAGGGCATCCTTGCCTCTCAAGCTTGAGCTCCTTACCGGGAGGGCCCCCGAGAGTGCTGCTCTCCCCCACCCCGGCCCACTGCCCCACACACGTTAGGCACTCCGTGGTAGGGATTGTCATTGCTGTTGAGATAATGAACTTCATTCCTAAGGTGGGCATCTTCCGAGGGTGCTCTGGATGATGAGAAACAGTGGGGGTGGGAGAGAGCACTGGGTTTGTGTGGGCACTTCCTCTCGGTCACTCGCCTTCTAGCCCGAGAGGCACTCCACTATTGGATGGTCTCCGTGATTCACCGTCTGACAAAGGAGAGAGGCTGAGTGGTATTCCCTGAGCTCTGCACGTCCTACTGCTGGCTCAGTGACCTGGCCCCGGCCTCTGTGCTGTGCTTGCCCAGCTAATGTGCAGATTCTCCTTTAGGACATCAACTTACGGGTGAAGTGGCCCAACGACATTTATTACAGTGACCTCATGAAGATCGGTGGAGTTTTGGTTAATTCAACGCTTATGGGAGAAACGTTTTATATACTTATTGGTAAGTTCTTAAAGCCCTTCCCCCAGCATTTTTAGATTAGTAAAACAATAACAATAAAAATGGTTTATGCGCGCCTACATGGTGGGAGCAGATTATAATGTGAAATTGCGTTTTCTTGGAGTCCTGTGGTTACGCAGTGTGGTGTGGCTTACAGAGTGGACAGATGGGTTTGAGGTGCTTCTGTGGCCTCTGTGTTTCCTCTCTGTGACCACGGAGACCTCCAAGTTGGTTTCACATCAAAGAGGCATTTCCTTACACCTTTCCACACTCCTGATTCTCATTGAATTTGAAATGGTGAAAATAAACATTTAATGTGTCATTCTGTAATAAGAAGAGAAAGTTAAAAAAAACAAACAGGCCTTTCTCTGTCACCTGGACTAGAGTGCAGTGGCATTGTTAGGGCTCACTGCAGCCTCAAACCTCTCAAGCACAAAGTGTGATCCTCCTACCTCAGCCTCCTAAGTAGCTGAGACTACAGGCACATGCTACCATGCTTAGCTAAATTTTCTATTCTTTGTAAAGAGGAGGCCTTGCTGTATTGACTGGTCTTTAACTCCTAGGCTCAAGCTATCCTCCTGCCTCAGCCTCCTGAGTAGCTGGGACTACATGTGTGTGCTACCATGCCAACTAATTTTTCTATTTTTTTTATAGAAATGGGATCTTGCTCTTGCTCAGGCTGATCTCAAACTCCTGATCTCAAGCTATCCTCCAGCCTCAGCCTCCCAGAGTGCTAGAATTACAGGGGTGAGCCTCTGTGGCCAACCAAGAAATTTAATTTCTGAGTTATCTCTCCTGTGTGTTACATTCTTAACTAGACCTTCCCAGGTCATGAAAGAGCTGCTGCCTTAACCTTCAGAAAAAGTTCCAGACTGGTTGAGGTGGGATAGAGAATCTCTGTTTCTCCCTGCACATCCAAATCAGGCAAGGAGACGATTCAGAGGCAATTTCAGAAGCTCATAGGCCCCTGCTCATCCACCATCAGCCTCCCTATTATGCCTCGTGGGACCTAATTGGAGTTCGTAAATCAGCAGCAGGCAGAAAATATGTGACCTTGCGCTGGCAGTACTGACCAGAGAATACAAGGCTTATTTCCAGCTCTGCGAACAGCTGACAGTATTATTCTGGGCAAGCAGCTTCCTACCCTCAAAGCTCTGTTTCCTGTCTTTACATGAAAGGTTCCTAAGCAGACTCCACAGATAGCAAGAAGGCCCATGGATGGCGTCAGGGAGAATGTCATCTGCAGAGCAGGGATGAAGCGTTCTTCTGTGGGGAGAACCCATAGCTTTTATTCAGTTCTTAAAGCCATGGGTTAGGGGTATTGGGGATACAGTCTTTGGGGAAGCGTTCAGAGTTGCCAGCAGGGGGGAGCTCTCTGGTCCTTGGAAGAGCACAGCCTAAGTCCATGGTGGTCGGTGTTGCTATTCTCCCTAGGAATTTTAATTTCGGAATACAAGGGAGAATGTTCAGCACTATATAGCAATTCAGTGCTACATTCAATAGGCACTTCAGACACCATACATGCTGTTGAATGAATGAACAAATGGACAACTGCAAATTCTGTCCTATTGCTGTAGTTTCTTATTTTTTCCAGATGTAACTATTGCTTTGTATTTTAATAGCTAGTATTTTTTTTATATAAAAATCTCAGGCTAGTCAGTGCTTCCCTTTATACTGAAACTGGTAGAATAGTGTTATTCCAAATGGCATTTTTGTATTTGAGGAGAATAGTAGGGGATTTTTTTTCCTTAATGGCACTGGAAACAGTTTACTGCCCACTGATTACACTGTCTCAGTTCTTACTGGAGACCTGCCGAGCACTGAGCTTGGGCTTCTCTGAAGACGCTGACCTCCCCCGAGAGGGTGGGGGATAAAGTAACAGCGCACATCAGCCTACTCAGACGCCACCTCTGGTAACTCACTCTCATGAAGCCTCGGCTCAGGAGCCCATAAAAGAGCCACTGAACATGAGTTGGCCCCTTGCCAGCCGTGTAACCTTAGCACCAAAGACTTCCAAGGAGAAATTACTAAAAGATGTGTTCTGGGGTCATGCCATGACCAAGGTTTGAAATCTCTGAATCCAAAGTTTACTTCTTACGTCTTGAATACAATTTTCTGTTTTCAAGTGTGTGCCCTGTTATTCAAGTAGGAGAAGCACTAAGAGATTTTATTCTCTGTGGGCTGCGTACGGAGCTGCTGTGGTTCTTGGCTGGCCCGCGGAGGTGTTATTTCAGAAGCAACACTGAGAAGTCTGTCCGTTAATCACTTCTGTTTAATTAACTTGCGTCAAAACCAGCTTTCTTCTCTCTATTCTTATTCGCGATAATGTTGAGATTGTCCCAGCTGGAATAAGAATAAGAAAGGAAGGAGGAAAAGGAAGATGGCCTCAAAATATAAATCACTGTCCAAGTAGCCGGAGACAGGGGAGCTGAAATGAGGACGAGGGAGCGGGAGATTGACAGTGAAAATGAAAACTTTTTTGGGCGGTGCCTGTGGCTCAAGGAGTAGGGCTCCAGCCCCATATATGGGGGTGGTGGGTTCAAGCCTGGCCCCGGCCAAAAACTGCCAAAAAAAAAAAAGAAAGATAACTTTTTCCAGGTGGTGGTGAGACGTGTGTGATGCCATCAGTATGGAGCTGCTCACTCTTTTCAATTTTTCACTTTCATCCAGGCTGTGGATTCAATGTGACTAACAGCAACCCTACCATATGCGTCAATGACCTCGTCGCGGAATACAACAGGCAGTACCAGGCAGAACTGAAGCCACTAAGAGCTGATTATCTCATTGCTAGAACTGTGACTGTGCTGGAGAAACTGGTGGACACCTTTCAGGACCAGGGGCCCAGTGCCGTTCTTCCCCTTTATTATAAATATTGGGTACACAGGTCAGTGCTATGTCAGTAGTTCAGTATCTTAAAATGAGAAACTGAGCACTGTGGCCTGAGAATTCTTTTTTTCCTATCTGATGGAGAAAGCTAGTGGATTCCACTTTGAGTGAGTTAGCTGGGCCAGGAATGGGGCAGCATCTCATGCCTCCCGGTAGGATGTGGTGGGAAGGACTCGACATCCCAACAGAGTATCAGTTCAATCTAACTGTCAGGGAACACTCAGACAGTGTCTGAATTGTGGAACATTCTAGATAACCCAGGTTCTCAAAGTGAGATCCCCAGGCAGCAGCCACAGCCTCAACCTTGTGGCCTTCTAAATTGGAGAGTCTGGGCGGCACCTGTGGCTCAAGTGGCTAAGGCGCCAGCCATGTACACCCAAGGTGGCGGGTTCGAATCCAGCCCAGGCCTGCCAAACAACAATGATGGCTACCAAAAAATAGCCGGGCGTTGTGGCGGGCGCCTGTGGTCCCAGCTACTTGGGAGGCGGAGGCAGGAGACTCGCTTGAGCCCAGGAGTTGGAGGTTGCTGTGAGCTGAGATGCCACGGCACTCTACCCAGGGGGACAGCTTGAGGCTCCTGTCTCAAAAAAAAAAGAGAAAAAAATAAATTGGAGAGTCTGAGAATTAGGGCCTGGTACTCTGCATCTTTAACAAAGGCTCCAGGGAATTCTCGGACAGCTAAATTTGAGAGCTGTTGATGTGTAACAGCAGGCCTGAACCCTCCAAAAATGTCAGTCCGCAAACAGATAAACAAAACAAAATGAAAGTGAGAGAATTATTTGGGATTAAAGAAGAGTAAAGAGGCATGACAACTACATGTAATGTGTGGCCCATAATTAGATTCTGGAAAAATAGCCACAAAGGTTATTGATGGGACGATAGACTGTACATTAGACAGTGTTATTTTATCAGGATTGAACTTCCTAGGGGTGATAATATTATGGTTTTACGTGAGATCCTTCTTATTCTTAGGAGATACATGATAAAGTATTTAAGCATAAAGTGTCAGGATGTTTGCAACTTATTTATTTATTTATTTGTTTATTTTTTGAGACAAAGTCTCAAGCTGTCACACTGGGTAAAGTGCTGTGGCGTCACAGCTCACAGCAACCTCAAACTCTTGGGCTTAAGCGATTCTCTTGTCTCAGCCTCTCAAGTAGCTGGGACTACAGGTGCCCGCCAAAAAGCCTGGCTACTTTAGCCTTGAGATTCTTCAAAATAAAAGTTTGGGAGGGAAAATTCTATGCTTTGAAACTGTTGAGAGGGATGTAACTTAACAGGTCCATTTGGAAAATAACTCAAAAGTAGTGGATCAGAATGGGTTTCACTTGTAGTTGGTGCTATCCAACTTTTGTAAGAAAAAAACCTTTTCTTAATCAACTCAGCTTCTTCTCCCCACCACTGCCATCTCAGCCCAAGAGGAAAAAACAAAAACCCTAAAGAGTTGGACAGCGTTTGGTGAAAGTGCCGGGGGTGAGGAAGAGATGCACAGATCGTCACAGGTGACCAGAATTCAGAAGAGTGATGCCAAGGGAAGAAATTCTGACCCCTTGTTGCACTTTGCACCCCTTGTCCATTTTAGTAGTTATTAAAACAATTCTCATGGGACCAGAAAAAGCCAGAGCTCAGGCTGCCTGTGCTTAACCGTAGGGAGCCTCCGCCCTCTCCCCAGCTCCCCTCAATCCCTTCTCCTTTCAGAATGGATAATGAGTTGATTAATTGTCCCAGTCATTCTGTTCCACTTCCCAGTAACCGCCCGCTGTTCTTCATTTTCAGTGGTCAGCAAGTCCGTCTGGGAAGCACCGAGGGCCCAAAGGTGTCCATAGTCGGTCTGGATGACTCTGGCTTCCTTCAGGTCCATCAGGAGGGCGGCGAGGTGGTGACCGTGCACCCTGACGGGAACTCCTTCGACATGCTGCAAAACCTCATCCTCCCCAAACGGTGCTAGGCCTGGGCCTGCGGGCGGCCTGGGCCTGCCGCCCTGACTCACGGGGCCAGCTCGTAGGCAGTGGGCAAGGACGCCACTGGGCTGCCTTGGGTCAGGGCTGGGTATGGAGCCAACTCAGTCAGCATTCCGCCTCCATCCCGCACCTGGCCCTGCCCATCTAGAAACCTACGGTAGAGTGTAGGTGAAGTTTCTCTTACTCCAAGTCATTTGTTAACTTTTTCATGTGTTAATTATTTGGGGTTTTTTTTTTTAGGTTCATTTTGTTGTCATTTTATTTGGTGTTTGAAGAGGCTCTGGGATAGAGGGTTGAGGAATAGAAGGTTTAACTTAGATGAAGCCCTCCTGTAGGTGTGAAGTCTCTTAGGTTTATGTTTATTGGGTGGGGTGGGGCTGGAGTTACATGGAAATATCAGTGGAATAATTGAAATATTTCCCCAGTAGTGGAGACCTTTAGTGGAGACTATTAAAAAGCAAATCAAAGAATGCTCTGGCGCGCAGGTCGGCGATGAATTAGAGAAGAATGACAGTATCACTGTAAGCATCTAGGGAGGGATTTTCCTATAAGAACACACATGAACACTTAGTCATTATTTTATTTATTTATTTTGTTAATGTAGAAAAGAGAAAACAGACTTCCAGGAGTTATTCTCCGCCTGGTGGTGGTATGCTCCAATAGCAGTGTCTAAACGGCTTTTGAGGTATACCTAGCTGATACATTGCAACAACTTGTAGAGGAATCAGTTGAGGACTTTGATATTATTTGATGAGAATTTAAATTTACTGCATATTGTGAGGAGATGGCGTCAAGCTCCAGCTCCTTCGAGCACTGATGAGGCATCACTTGGATGTGGGGGTGGATGATTTGGCCCTGACAGCTGGAGATGAAGTCTCACTCTCACACCACGTGCAAGGGAGGATTTGGGTCTTTTAAGCCATTTTCAGGTTCACTTTGAAATAGGGAGCATTCCTGCAAGGCTTTGCAGAGCACAGAATGTAGAAAACCCGTACATGACATTTTGTTTGTAAGTCATTATCTTTCATTCACTAGTCCTTATATTGCCCAGAAAGAAAACATCATCAGTCCTGAATACCATCAGCTCAGAAAGAGCGTGTGTGTGTGTGTGTGTGTGTGTGTGTGTGTGTGTGCCCGGAGTGTGTGTGCTCACACACAGCATTAAGACAGTCAGAATCTGATGCACTAAAAGTCTCCATGGAAGAACAAAAGAAAGGAAGCCTTTTGATATGCGTTTGCTATTTCCAGATGTACTCCATGCTTTTTCCATGTAATTCCTATCTCTGTTGAACTTATGAATCACACCCATTACTTTCAGCCATAAAAGGAGAGTTTTTGTCCACTTTTCTCTCTTCCTGCCAGTCCCAACTGAAATTACTGGAAAGAAAGTTTGAAGGAGCTTTCAGCTTTGAACAAAATTCCTTCATTGTAGACTCAGCACCATCTTTATCCAGGTCTAAACTCTGTCAGGCTAATTCCACAAACTTGTGGGTTTTGGTGTAAAATCTGTCTACCTTTAGTCAGACACAGACAGCCCCATAGAAAGAAAAAAAAAAAAAACCAAAACGACATGTTTAGTAAAATACACCAACTCAATATATGTATATTTTTAATGTAACTTAAAAGCAATTTCTGCAAATAAGGGTTCAGTTAGAATTATTTTTCAAAAAAAAAAAAATTATTGTCTCCTAAATGCCGCGTCTTCTTTTGGAGTTAGTGACAAGTTTAAATAAAAGTCCACATTATCCTAAAATTATAGAAGGGACTCACCCTTGAAAGGGCGTCTGCAAAGTATCATCAGGGACAAAGGTCTCCAGGCTAACGATGCAAGTTTCATTTCTCAAACTTTGTAATGTGAGGCAAGTCATCTCTCGGAGCTGCCATCATTACTTTTTGAATGTCTTTGGGGGGTTATTTAATGAAAAACATGCTATGTTTTGTTTTAAGCTGGAGTTCTATTCTGGACATTTTGCTTTGGGAAAAATGTTATCATTTAATTTCCTTTCTGCAAATTAAAACTAATGAAGTGTGGCCACGTCAAAGGACGCGGAGATGTTCAGGGCACGCTGCTTTTCCCCTGCGCTTCCTAATAGGCTGTTCTTCCTTGAGCAGGAGACCCAGTTGTCTTAAGGGAGACAAAATAGCCTTGAAGCAGATGCTGTGGTTTCCATAAACCTGATTTTGCCTCCCATAAACCAAAGAAACCTTGAAATTCTGCTTCACATCAAGTAGCTGAATGAAGGCATTTTACCTCTAGCTGTTAGTGCCCGGGAAACCCCTCCACCTACTGCGCCTCACTCTAGGATTTGGGCCATTTGTGTATCCCACCATCTGCCATCTCAAGGAGCTTTAAAAGTCTTAATGGAAACGTTGGCTTTCTTTATGCATAATCTTTAAAACAAGGCCATTAAACTCAGAATGGGTATGTACTTTTCAAAGATCTGTTTACCCCTCTGTTAGAGGCGGTGGGTTGAGTGTCTGTTGTGTTTTGGCAAGATGTGGGCTGGTGGATTTTCAGGGAGACCCTGGGGACATGCTCCCTAAAATAGGACAAAGCAATCACAGGGCTTCCTGTGCCTCCCCATCCCCAAATAGTGCGTCTTAGCATCAGGAGTGCTGGCAGGGCATGATGGAAAGAAGTAGGACTTGTATCTGATCAAAAATCACCAGTGGGTTTCTCTGCAGCACACTGATGTCACCTGATGTGGGAGCTGGAGTCAGGAGCCTGACTGAGGTGTGGGTTAGAGGTGGGTGCATAGGACCAGCTGGGAGAGACCTGGCCACAGGGCACAGTGTCATATACAGCACAGCTTTCCACTCCCTGGAGTCTGGGAACAAGGAGGAAAGCCAGCCTCACCCAGCAGTTTCAGAGTGCAAAACGGAGTGTCCTAGGCTCACGTTCCCTAGATCTACTTGCTCCCAATAGGCAAAAAAATGGAAAGTCCTTATTCCTGGTTAATTACTGTGCATATTTGAAATAAAGTATAAACGTTTGCATTTTTAGCTTTTCAAAGAATGCCTCTGAAAAAAATCACTTTAAACCAATGCCTATAAAGAGCAAGTCTACTGAAATAAACTTTTAAGACTTTCTATATGGTTTGAGCTCATTCTTATTTTTCACCACAAATTTCATTTTTAAAAATAGGCGACTACTTTTGTTTTGAGTATTTTTATTCATATTTAAACGGATTTTTACAAAATAAATAGCGTTTTTACATAGTATGGAATATGTATGTATTTGTAAATATTAAGAAACCAAGGGTTTTTTTTTTTTTTTTGGTTTTTGGTGCACACTATTCATCATACAAAAGAGAAATTTTATTACTCCAAAGAATGAAAGTTCACAAAACCCAAAAGTAAAAAATCTCTTTACAGAGGTGAGAAATAAATTTAACGTAACAACTTGTAGATTCTGCTTTTTTAGGCTATTTTTTATTTCGTGAAATATGCTTGACTTTGTGTCTTAACAGGCCCCTCCCTCAATTTTTAGCCTTATATGCATATCCTACTTCAGCTTAGGAACAGCTTGAATAATGCATTTTAAATAACCCAAATTCATCACTTCTCAACCTTTTGTCAAGATCAAGTGTAAATAACCCAAATTCACTTAAATTTCAAGCTACTATAATCCGATGGCATTTATTTGAAAATGTTCTCTTAAAATTCCCTTTTATCTGTAGCAGCCCACACAGCCTATTTTAATTGTCTTAGAGTTCCAATAAATCAAAACCTAGGTCACTTACACAGGGTCTATTGACTGTATTAAGCTTCCCTTGGGTGGAGAGGAGGAAGGCAGGGCTGATAGGACTTTTAAAAGGATAAAAGTGGGGGTGGTGAAGGGGCAGAAAATACAGGCTTTTACAGATTTCCTCAGCACTGCCCTTCACACCCGTTCACGTCTTCACAAAGGTATGAATGGAATGGCTTTTCTAGAAAAAGGCTTCCAAGAACATAAAGGAATTCCTTTCCCTGGGAGGCCCCATTGGAGGCCAGTCTTGAATTGGGCTTATTTCTCAAATCCATTTGATGTGGCATTTTTGTCAACATGGTACATGTTAGGGCCCACCACAATTTTTTTTCTTCTTTTTTGTGAAAGAGAGGTATATTTATTAAAGCTCTTCCTCTCCCCCATCATAGCCTCATAGAAGTCAAGAAACGATATCCCCAGCTAAAATGTGCAGACTGTTGAAGATGGAGGTAACAATATTAGGTTGCCATAGTAACTGCTCTGTTAACCTTGCATTGAAGCCAGCTTATGTAAGAATCTTCTTCATGTTCTAGGCTATGAAAACTGTGATGTTTGTTTAGACAAGGAAGTTTTCCCTAGCACACATCTTATTTTTCAAGTACATATACACTTTGTTAAGTCTATTTACATGATCGTTTGTAAATTTATAATGGGTACTTTTTTCTCAACAGCAACCTTTGTTATTAGAATGTGCTCTGATTGCCTTCATGGTTTGTATTTACTAAATACAGCCCTCAATGTTAATAAGAAGGTAGATACAAAAGTATTTTGTGGTACTTCACTGAAAAATATTGGTAATACCTCCTATTAATTAAACCTACACCTTCCAAGAGTCATGGCCTATTTTAAGACCCTAGGCCTATTTTGTGTGACACACACTCTCCCAAAGAGCTGTGAATGAGGTATAGCTAAGTGCAGTAAAGAGGTGAGTGCGTCTCTTCTTGCAATCCATCCTTTCACTGCATGACACATGTTCCCAAATTTGCAAATTTTAACTCATAACATAAAGCCAACCAACACCTCATAGGAATTACCTGAGTCCTCACTAAGTGACACAGGGCTGGCAAAAGATCTGTTCACATTTTGAGAGCAGTCGGTAAAGGGGCACTTTGATTCTAGAATGATGAGTTTAAAACATTTGTGAAAACCTCTTTCTACTCTGAAAGCTTGGAAATCATTTCCTAAAATAAGCCGCTTTTGAAAAAGCACCAAAATGATGCCTGTTTATAGTGTGGACAAGTTGAAAGACAGTTCAACGTACCCATCCAGTTCAGAGCTATGATAGGATTTTTAAATGGTGAGATCTTTAAGCAAAACTGTAAAACAAAAATTAATGAAGTTTATTTTTAAAACACTGCTGGTGCTTTATGAAAGGATTTTGTTTACCTGTTACATGGCGTTTCCTTGCTATGTAGAAAATGCTTAAAATGTATACATCGCTTTCGTTACATCCCCTTAGTACGTTTTTCTTACACAAGGTGCAGCCCATTGATAGTTTCCCATATTGCACATGCAATTGAACTAACTTTATTAGCACTACTTGTAACAAACACAAGCCTAGTGAATTACAGATCTGTGTGGGCCAGAGGCATTTTGCCATGAAACTGAGCTTGACAGGGTCATTCTCATAAAATCTCTGGCTACATATACTTATTTTGCATTTAATGCCTATCAGTATATTGGGAAGGTGCTATTCTTGGTGTTATCAAGAGTTCACGGGGTTTGGGGGCAGTAAGAGCTTGTTAATGTACTAGTGAAGCACAGTGTTCAGACACATAATGAAATTGCATGTTCACCCCGTCCTTAGTCTAGGCTTGATTTTTGTTGAAGAAAAGTTAAATTTTTAAAAAAATTAACGAGACTCGTGAATGACTTTTAAAGACAGTGGCGTTGTTGTCTATTCATGGAACTTAAAACACATTCTGCCTTTTACCCAAGAACCTACAAGGGCTTGGAGACACAGGCTGTCTGAGAGTGGGGTGTCCTCCGCAGAGCAGAGCGGAGGATGTTTGCGGAGTTGAAGCTCCTTAAACCCCCCAGTGGGGCCATTATCGAGCCTGAGGACAAGGCAAGATGCAGGTAAGTCTGATTTCAAGGTGAGGAAAACTGACCCCCCACCAACGATGGGGTACTCTGAGGTCACACGGGGGACGTGGGGACGCTCAGCGCTGCCCCTTCGGGAAACCCAGATCTTGGAGAACAAGGGCCAGCAGGTCCTTTCTCCCCCACGCCAGGCCGCGTATCCGTGGTCTCAGTCCTCTGCGCCGGCGTCTGTGGCATCTACGGTAAAAATCTAGAAGTCTGCTGCGGAGTCCTATTAAAATAGTCGTCTCTGTATAAATTAACTTACATCATGCATATGCAGCGCGCCCCTCCCGGGCCTGCCGGATGTCGTCGAGCAGGATCCGGGAGGGCTTGGCCTATGGCTTCACCGTGCGGGCGGCCCCGCGCTGGGCGGGTCACCTGCCGTTGGTGATGATGACCGAGGCACCCAGGTAGTGGGGCAGCGGCGCTCCGGGCGGCGAGGCGG